CTCATCCCCCACGCAGCGCAGAGCCACGCAGCCCCGCTGCCTACAGAGGTTCAAATGGTGCTCAAGAAAAGGCAATGACACTCTGGATATTTTCATGATACAAATGTGCAACAAAGAAGAGGACAGACAAAATGAAGTTCATTTATACCTTCCTCCCGTTAACCTCCTGCACTGATCTATGCGGAGCTCTGCAAGTTTCCACTTGCTGTAATCCAGGGCCAGATCAAGCCACTGACTACTCAAAGCCACGCTGAATACTGAATTTCTCCAACATGAATATCGCACTGCAGTGACCTAATAGTAAAGTACTCTACCAGAATCTACTGAGAAAAACCCTGTACCTTTAACTAACCAGATCAACCTTAACATTTTCCATAAAAATAAAGTTTACTCACGCACACAACTGCATTTGCATGCTTTCATTATCTCTGTATCTTCCAAAATAGAAGACAAAAGATAAAAAAATTGGACAGGGTAAAGAGAATCACAGATTAGAGGATGTGAAATGACACAGCTCCAATTACTGGCTGATCACACTCACTCTGCATTCAGCAGCAGCAGACCATTAAAGTCCTTAATACTTCCATGCCTGCGTTGTTCGCTAGTCTAGTACAGGAGTTTAGTGCTGCTCTAGCCCATGGGGGATCGAAATTCAATCCGTAGAAAGCTCACTCTTAGTTAGCAGCAAAAAGGAGGAATGCCACTTGAGGTATTCACTGGCGACGTCTGAGCAGCATCCTCTCTGGAAGGTGCTACAAAGCCAGGATTTTCACTTGGTGCCGAGGCAAAGTGTACTGCTCTGCCAGCTGGTGATCAGGGTCCAGCTGCTGCTGAGCAGACAGGCCAGGGATCTGAACACAAGAGTGTTCCAAAAGGCGTCAGTTCTCCAGCATATTTCAGGGGTGCCCACAGCTGCAGGCAAGCTCTTTTCCAGGGGAGTTTCTCCTCAGAAAACTAACTGTACGTGCTAGAAAGAAAAATTAATTTCTCGACCTCCCCATGAATAAAGCAGTCCACAGAATCCTGATTAAGGAAACGAGTTCGTTGTTTCATCTGAGACAGGAGCGGCATATGTTTTGTCCTAGGGTAAGAGCCTTGGGAAGTGGATTTCTCAGACCTGATTCACCAAATCTGGGAATCTCTGTAAACAGCAGAAACAGTGAACTTCAGACTTGTGGGATTAAATAGGGAATGACCTACGCAAATGAACACAATATTGAGAGAGCTGGAACAATAACCAGTTTCTTCCAGTCATTCAGAAAACGTTGACAAAGATTTTTCTTTCACTCACGCAAAGCTTGGAAGTCCCTGTAATAAAAAGTACTGCCTTAATTTCAGAACTGACACGTTTGTCCACCTAACTGATCACGAGACGCGTGCAAGTCAGCATTTCAAAGTGAGAGGGTTCAGCGTTTGTGCCTAATTACTGAACAGGCATGCAGTAAGGTTTTTTCACATATCTTGTTGAAACAACATGCCTACACAATCAGATTAACGAGTTCTTCATACAAAGAAATACATACCTGAATTACTAAAAAAATCTCCCAAACTTAATACCAAAACACTGTCAGTCTAGTAAAGATGTTTTTATACACGCAATAATAAATTCTTTGCTCTAAGCGGAACGCATTCTTTCCTCCATTTCCATCTGAAAAGCTTAGGTTCTTGCCTTCCCCCCACAAACCCTATTAAAAAAAAATCTCAAGAACTTCATAAAGAATTTTGTACTTAAACAATAAAGAAGGGAATAAAGCGCACACTTTTTAAGAACGATATGGTTCGATACAGCTGTACAAAAGGAAAAGGTTTTGCTGAAGTGCTGAACAAAGTGAACACTTCCAGGAAAACACTCAGGAAAACCCAAGAGGTTTATGATTATTCATCCAAAGGCATATCCAGTCCTTCTTACTCTATTGTCAACTATTTACAAAAGAAAATTTGTCCATCTTTAGGTGTCAAAACCAACTAGACCACAGAACAAACAAAACTGCCGCTGCTGCAAGCGCTTCTCTCTCAGCAAAGAAATGAAAACCTGCATCATCATGTTGCTTTCAAAAACTGGACCCATGGGTAGTTTTTTCCTGAGACCTTTTCTCTCAGCCCAGTCACTGGAAAGGAAAACTAACATGCTAAGCAGGAAATTCACAATTCCAACTGATCCCATTTAATCCCCTGGTTCAGCACCGATTCCCTCCCCATTCACAGTGGAGGCTTGCACGTGTAGAGGAGCAGTCATTCCACAAATCCCTGGGGAGACCCTGGCAACCAGCCGCCCCTCCGTCCCTGCCAAAAAAAGATACTGCTATGATGTTGCCCCTCCTATTTGTAACAACTTGTTATTTCAGTATGAAAATACTCAGTTTACTTTTAATGTGGATAAGAGACTCCCTACAGAACTCAACTACACTTTTATCCAAGCACTCCCCTGGATTCAGAAATACCGACACATACATTTTAATGTTTTACTTTTACTTACAACTTGTTTCAGGATTTCCTGGGATACTTCTACCCATTATAGCACAGAAACTTCATAACATTTTAGAAGTGAAATACATATTTTGGAAAAAGAACCATCTCCAAAACAAACCCACAGAAAACAATCCCCTCCCCAAACCAGAAAGACAAAACCAAAAAAACCACAACCCACCATCAAATCCACTGAAAGAAAAAAAGAAGAGGCCAAAACATGTTTCCGCTTTGTTACAGTCAGCCTCAGGATTTCCTTGAGTTCAAAACAGAATTCCTGCACTAGAGCTGCAACTCATAGCAGTGCGAGTCGGTCCCTCCCTTGATTTCCATCCAAAAGTACATCCACTAGTGTATCTGCAAACAGAATAACTCACCCTGGTGACAGAGCTATCCCCCCTGCGCCAGCCAAAGCCAGGGGTGGTGGTGGTGACAGTGTCACAATTTATACTAATTAGGGACGTGTTTTCATATTCAAACAAACCTTGAGCTTTGTCAGAAAAGCACAAAGCTGTAGTGATCCACATCTCTTCACAGATTAATAAGAACTTTTAAAATTAATCCAGTAGTAGAATCATAATGAAGGCTTTTCTGACTTGTGCTTCCATTGTAGTATTTCTGAAATAACAAAGTCGAGGTGCAGCAACTCTATTTTACACATGCTGCAAGACCAACTGCAAACGAAGAGAGACCCCGGTACGAAGGGAAGTTAAGCCATAACAAACATGGATAGTAGTTTCTCTTCAAGCTTAATAAAGTAAATAACTGCACTGGAAAATATTCTGTTCTGGGCTTTCTGCCATACAGGAAGGGTGTTGAATATGGCAGTGTCCGTAATTACTATCAACAGAAAAAGCACCAGAAAGCAACAGTCCAGCTCTTCATTCTTTCACGTTATCAAGAGCGCAGCACGACTCACACCTCTCTCCCCCTTGTATCCATTCTAATACAGATAGACATTTAGGCTGCAGTTCTGAAGTTTGTGTTTCACAAACTATTAAACACAATTTTAATTGTATTTTTTCCTTTCATCAGAATTGAGTTACTTAATAGTCCATATATTTAACCATCCTGTTAAATGGAGAGGGGAAGAGGTTTCAGCCTATTTAAAATAAAGAAACATTCCATTATCATTTTTTCCTCTGAGAACAAGAAAAAGATAAAAACATTTCTTGGACAGGAAAGGAGATGTTAACAAATGCCTTTTTACTGTGTACTTAGCGTGTATCAACCCACTACAGACCAGGCTGCCATAACCCTGTGTCCAGTTTAAGCGATCGCGATTGCACCAGCCCTGCACAGCAGCGACTCTGGACAGTAACCACAGCAATAAGGTCACTGCCTGCTGATCACTAGCAGTTACAGGGCTGACATTTACTGCAAGGCTGCTCATCAAATAAGCTACCATCATGAGAATGTTTGTGAACTGCAAAGTAAAATGGACCAACCTAAAACCACCACCCATGTACTTCAGGCAGATGAGTTCTAACGGATATTTGTGACGAGCTAAGGCAGCACAAGGCAAGCTGCTGTCTCAGACCATGAGCCACCGGTGACTCAAGATCACTGTAACTCACATTACTGTTATTACTCAGCTCTCCATAGCCTCCAGCATTAATATCCTTCGCATTAGAAGATTTAATATTAGTTTGAATATAACTAAGAGATTATTAGCATTGCTATTGTCATCTTAACGTGCTTTTGAAACGACTGATTTAGGCACGAAGATTCCAATTTCATCATCCTCTGGAAAATTTTCATGTAAGACTGAAGGTTCTATGGGTATGAAATCTGTTGATATCAAGACCATATAATCCAATTCACACTTCTTTTTTTAATATTAACATGGGACAAACATCAAGTGTTTGCATTCAGAGTTAATATCTTGAAGGGAGTACTGACTTAAAAGAAAAAAACAAAGCAAAACTAAAAAGTTTAGTCAGAATGTTTCTTTGTAAAAAATTTTTTCCCCTTGAATGACTTTTACAAATTAAGGCTGAACTTGATTTCAAACACAATTTGATTTTCCCTATAGAGGCTATCACTAGGATACATGGCCATGAATGTGTTGCAGGTTTAAAATACATCACTACCTTGGTGTTGGTAAGTGAAACTGAACTCATTTAACAAAACACAGGTCATCATACCAAAGCCTTTGTGTGCAGATTTGTGTAACACTGTACACAGCTTTTCAGAATGTACAGAAAGGACTGGTTCTCAGTGTCACATCAATCCTGGACTAGCTTTTCTTTTTTTTCTTTTTTAAACAATCAACCCACATTTCAAGTCTGATGTACAACAACAGTGCATACATTCCAAGGGAAACAGAATACCATCATGATGCTTCTGTTCAGTGCAAATAAGTGAACCCTTTATATCCAGCTCCTAACATTCTGACCTACAACAGACACTATACCAATGCTAGGCAAGACGTTGTAGGAACAATAAGGGTTTTTCCAGCAATGCAATAAAGGACAATGGTTAACTCCACAACACATAGGGAATTTCTGAATTGCTGAACACAAGGCACGTACCTGTTCCTTCACAGAAGCTAAAATGGTAGTGGCAGTGGCCTCTGGTTCCATGCCTGGGCCTGGGGAAGTTTCCTGTGTTGTCTGCGGCAGCCCTTCCTCCACCATTGGGGTCTGCTCAGGGGCTGGCATTTTGCCTGAAATAACAATATTTTAAAATAGTTTACATTTTGAACCAGGGATGTTTAAGAAAATTCGAGCTTTCAGCATTATATTTTTTTTTTCTAAAACCTTTCCAAACTTAACCACATTAGCAGAGAACTTGGTATTACTAGTATCAGTGTACGTTGCTACTACCGTGCTTCACATTGACAGACTGAAATCAGAATCACATACAGGACGTGAGAGCCAGGCAGAAGCAACCGAGCAGCACAAAATTTAAAGACTGTTTTAAAAATACTATTTTGTGGTAGCTACTAAAAGTAGCAAACTTCAAGATGCATGAAAAATACTAATGTTAAACAGCAAGCCCACCCAGGATCAGTGACAGTTTAGCACATACAGTTTTTAGCATGGAAGAGCGACATGCAGAGTGCTTTGCTGTTAGGAACAAACCATGGAAGAGACTAATTAGGGCAATAAAAAGTTAATGGGAACAATGCTTCTAGTGTTCTTTTTGCAAAAGAGGAAATTAAAGCGCTAAAGTTAAACCAATTGCCCTGGGCTATGGATAGTGTGGAAGGGACTGACAGGATTAGCATCGAGAACCCCAAGCTTCAGCATCACGCCAACAATCCCAGTACGTGTAAAGACAGCAACTCCTGTAAGCTCGGCATACACCTGGAGCTTCAGAGACCCTTGTTTCTAGAAGAACCAGTTGAATAGCATTGAAGAGAGCAGAGTTTAAAAAGTGCTCTAAGAGTTATACGATAGGACTTTTAAAAGTTAATGCTTTTACTTGTAAAAATCAACCCATTCATCACGCTGTAATAACCCAAAGAATCACAGAATACATGCTACGATTCCCTGGGTCACACCTGGTTTTTAAATCACTTTCCACGACTACAACTCAGTGGTTCAGGTTTCTAAATGGACTGTGAAATTTGCAAGCATATCATGAAGTAATAAAACTACCCAGTCAAGCTTTTCCTTCATTTGGGAATATTTGCTAAGTAATCAAAAGGCCAAATCTCAAGAACTCTCACAAGTTACCCATGAGCTTCGCTCAGAAAGGGGCTGCTGTCTTGTCCATACATCCCAACACGTCTGCACCTGCAGGGTAACCAGTGGAGCATCCCTTGTGTTTTGGGTCTTCCAGGTGAGAAACACAAAATAGAGTGCAATAATAAACAAAGCCAATGTTTTAAAGAAAAAAAAAACATCCCTGAGTTCTCAGTTATGCAGAGTAATGCATGTCTGTATCTTTAGAGCAATTAAATATGTAGATGTGTTGTGGTTTAACCCTGGTGGGCAGCTCAGCCCCACGCAGCTGCTCGCTCACTCACCCCCAGTGGGGTGGGGAGATAATGGAAGGTAAAAGTGTGAAAACTCCTGGCTTGAGATAGAGGCAGTTTAACAGAGAAAGCAAAAGTTGCACACACAGGCAAAGCAAAACGAGTGATCCATTCACTGCTTCCTATCGTCAGGCAGGTGTTCAGCCATTGCCAGGAAAGCAGGGATTCATCACACATAACGGTGGCTTAGGAAGACGAATGCCTTAACTCCAGATGTCCTCCCTTCTTCCCCAGCTTTTATTCCTGAGCACGATGCTGTATGGTGTGGGATAACCCTTGGGTCAGTGGGGTCAGCTGTCCTGGCTCCTTGTGCCCCCCCAGCCTGTTCGCTGGGGCGGGGTGAGGAACAGGAACAGCCTCGAGGCTGCCCCAGCGCTGCTCCAGCAGTAACTAGCGCATCCCTGTGTTACCAGCACTCTTTTGGTCACAAATCCCCAACATAGCACCATAGGAGCTGCTATGAAAAAGATTAAACTCTATCCCAGCCAAAGCCAGTGGAACATGCCTTTATGGTCATATTTTTAAACTGCCTGGTCTTTCCAAAGGTTTAGCTATGGTTTACAAAAAAGATAACTTATGGGATAGCTTAAAACATCGAAATCAGTGCAATATTTATTCCATAAATAATATTTACTCCATCATGAGACTTTCAAATTTTGTTTTCTTTTAAAAAAGCATGACTTTTTTTCACTTCACTTTAAAAAAAACCCTTGACTTTTTGAAACTTCTATCTATGATGTGCCACAAAAGTGCTTTAAAAACGTGCCAGTTCCTTGTAGGTGATCAAAGTATGTTGTCAAATGCATGCTTAAAACTGGACTGACTAAAATCCTCTACAAAAATATGATACCACGAGCACAGATGTGAGATTATCTCAATTTTTATTTTCTGTAACTTTGTCACTCTCTTCTCATCCCAACACTGAAATATCTCTTCAACCTATCCATAGTAAATTTCTGTAACAAACCAGTCAAGAAAATGTACATCTGAACTAGTTGGGAGATACGGTAATTTCTGTGAACAGAAAATATACCCAATACCGAGTTTCCAATAATAACACTGATGAAAACCAATCAAATTAATTATTAATAAAGATGTGAGTGTTAAAAGCACATCTGTCTCAGTGTTCAGAGGTGCGATCAGAGAGCTATACCCTTCCACACGGGCAGTTGCTCCAACTGCTGCTCTTTCAATTAACTCACTTCTTGGCAACGTTACTGATTTTCTAATCTCCATTTCACGATTACACAACCGTTGGCTTTGATCCTACAAACACTCACGTACCTCCTTAAGCTAACGCACGCTCGGATGCTCATTCCGTCCCACCTCCTTTGTGCCAGGCAGCTGCGAGGCGCAGGCTGGCGTGACGGGGCACAGGGAAGGGAAGGAACAGGGGGATGCTCCCTGAAGCCCAGCCCCACAGGGGACCCGTCCCCACCACCTCGGTCTAGACACGCTGTTTGAGGAAAGGAACCACAAGGTCCATTTAGGTTCTCATAGTCACCTTACGGGAACAGGAAACACCAAACATAGGATTTGCGAGAGCCTCAAAAACAGGTACAGGTAGAACTTGGGAGGAGTTATTGAGAAAACCTCTTTCTTCCTCATGCAAGGCTGGGATTTACTGGCTGAAGGGACTTCCAGAGTTGTGTCACTCACTCCTCTGAGTATAACTAACTGGTTCGTTATTAGAAAACAAGCAACCAGGCTTCATCCCTCAAAAAATTTGTTCCACAGTGATGGAACAAATGGGAGATCCTCTGAAATTTTGGGGGGAGATTAACAGCAGACTTGAGGAGAACAGCAAGAATTCGCTATTATTTTTTGTAGATTTCAGTCACTGATCAAAATCATGTATCTTCAATCATTTAAATAATTTTTCAGAAAAATTGCTAAATGCTTCATCTTGTACCATATGTCTGAGAGAACTCTTCACACCTATTCTGAATGTTGAAATTCTCTATTTAAAGGACAAAAGAACAGCAGCAGTGACAACCTAGCTCTGGCTGCCCTGCATTTCCATTTCCCAGCTAGATGCGAGTGTGCAGGGAAAATAAAGCAAAGCTGGTCGGTTTGAAGCCTCTAGTCTGAAACACCCTGCAATACTCCTGAAAACAGCGGCTTTTCCGTCCTCTCTACAATGGAGGCTCACTGGAATGTTTTCACGAAAGCAGGCAGTAAGTGGGATCAAAGAGCTGGCTTTCCATCCAGCCAGCACGGGGCACAGACCATCTCTAGGCAGCTGCAGGATCTGCCGAGTAAGCCGCGTTCAAACAGCCCCTCTCCTCTTCGAGGACCCCCATTGCCCCCACCATGTGCCACTAGCCTGTTCCCCTCTAGCACAGGGTAGCACCGGCTCCTAACCCCCCAGATGTTCTCCTTCTGTCCACACGCAGCAGACCCTTGGCACCCCGGCACCGATGATGGGGCAGGTTCACGGGTTGCCTTCAGGAGCTAGCCAGTCCTGGCTTTCACTGGCCCCCGCGAGCAGCCGGAGGCGGTAGGGTGCCAGAGTGGGTGATGCTCTCTTTTGTGTCTGATCAAAGGGTCAAACAGCTGCAAGGCAAACAGGCTCAGTGAGGCCATCGCACACAAAGCTATGCTTTCTGGGGGGGAAGCGAGCATTTTTCTGACCCAGCTGATGTGTACCAGCCGGGCAGTCACTGATGCAAGGAAGGAACAAGCACACACAGTAGAGGAGAGAAGAAATACGAGAAATCACTACACTGAGCGTAGGAAACCGTGCTTTGACTCTTCATTCTCGTTGGCCTCTACTCCCCCCCTTCCACTGCTCCTCCTGGTATTATCTTAGAGATGCCCAGACAGTTTTCCCAGCACCGAGTAATCCCTCTCCTTGCAGCGTGGGCCAAGGAGAACCCAGACCCTCCCAGGTTCCCCACAAGACAGGAAAAGTGGTGCTTTTCCACAGCTCCCTAGGCACTTCCCTTCGTATTCCTCTTGCCTTCCTTGCACAGGGGATTCTCCCAGATTTTCTCCTTAGCCGTGTTGCCTCTTCCTGAGCCTCCCATTGCTGACCTGAAGCCAGTGACAAGTCACCAGGGTAACCCACTCTGAAGAGGTGACAGAATTCCTATGAACACTGCCAGCTCGGATGGATAGTAGGAGAGACTGTATCTATTTCCTGAGGGAAACATGAGAACAGCGAGCAGCATCTCATCAACAAAAATCCGCATATTTATCTAGCTACAAGATTAACTCAAGCAACAGGAGCACATCACCAAGGACATCAGAGCAATGCTCATTAGTACAGAAGAAAACAACTCCAATTAGCTAAAATCAACTCACCGGGACACTGACATGTTATTGATCATACAGCCACATTCTTCTTAGGAACCTACACTTAAGCAACAAGGCACATCTCAGCACTTGGTCAGAGATTCTTCATTTCTCATCCTTCACAGTGTATGTGAAAGTCAAAACCAAAGCAAGACTTATGACATTTCTGCAGTTTTTAGATGAAGACGTGATTAAAGTTTATCTGATTTTTTCAGTTCCTCCACAGACATGTCAGTACACTTCTAGGTATGAGCAGCTCCTGTTAGCTCCATCCTGCTCCAAGGACAGAGCGTTGCTCACCCACAAACCGGGCAGCGATTTACGTCCTCAAGCTTGGTGCAGCCAAGGGACTGAACGGAGACAAACTCCAGCAGCCTGTAG